TGTAATCCTCGCAAGATTTTTGTATACGGAAAAAAATTACGTAGATATTTAAATAATTATTTATTTGCAACTTGAATCGGAATGTCTCTTTCTCTCGTGCCAAGTAAATAGTGCTGATACAACAGTGTTATGTTGGGAAATTGATTTATGAGGGCAATTTCTTATATACGGTTACACAAGTGTAAACTGTATTACAGAAAGATGTCTATTTGCGCGAGGCAAGAAATTGCTTGTGAACGTGAAAAAATAGGAAAACCAGGTTGTGTGGACAAACGCGGTGACACGGTGACTGCACATATGGTGCGCGTGACATGACTGGAATATTTGCTGTTGTTCGCATCGACAAGACCGTCCTTTGCCGTCCAACGTACGCGACCGCCATACAATTATAACTACGAATGCAAGCTGATCCTAACAACGTAATCCAAGCCACTTGCATAATTGGCGGAAGACTCCCTCTTATTTTCTGGTTGCCGGAAAGTCTAATTGTAATCTCTAGTTGATATCATCAATTATGAAGATGGATTCAAAGAGAACATGGAAGAATTCGATTTGTTGTTATACAGGGCGAGCTATTTTTTTAAATAAAAATCGATTCTTTTTCTAACAAAAATTGTAGGTCTCGAGATAAATCTATATTAAAACTTTATTTATATTGAGTTGATGATTTTCTTGATTCTTTCTTGAGTTACACAATTCTTTAATTAATACTAATGGAATATCGGTGTTCCGCAAACAACTTTTGTGCGAAACATTTTTTGCAAAAAGCGTACGACAGAAAATATTTAGTGATGAGTCATTAAAATAGTTTACCCTATATAAGTGCGAAAAATTTTAGGAGGTGATTCTTCGACAGAAATTAGGAGGTTTTTTATATAAACATATATTCTTATATCCCTCTCTGAGAAGTTACATTTTTTAAAGCAAGAGATAAAAATCAAGTTATTTTTTCTTAAATTTCAGACAAATTAAAAAATAAAACTTGGTAAGGGGTATTTTTCATTAATATATAAAAAGAATATTTATTAATATTCTTTTGATCTTGTCGTATCGTTATATAGGGATAAAACTAACACCTATTTAATTTTTTATCAGAACGGATCGGAATATGATCATCTAAAAATATGCGTTACAAAGTTTGATTCCTTTAGAAATTTCTTATTTCTTTTATTTTTTTGGTAAAATCAATAATTAAAAAAAAAAAAAAAATACGTGATTAAGCAAGCATTCCCTTTTTATAATTTTCGACGAAGAATTATCTTCTAAAATTTTTCGCCTTTATAGATACATCCTGTACATTAGAAATAGAGAAATAAAACTAAAAGCAGCGATCTACCGTAATAATTTCCTCTAACGACGGTTATCATTCGTCGTTAGCGGAAAATTTAAAGAACTTCGTTTATATTTCAAGAAATTTAATACTATAAAATCTAAGGAGATAGAGAGATAGAGAGAGGCGATGGAGATATATAAATCGGCCGATTAGTTCTGCAAATAATTTTAGCGCAAATCGAAATGGGATTGGGATCGTAATGGCTGTCATGAGGTGCGCCGACTGCGAACGACGCGATACCGACGACATTCTTATTATATTCGACGTACGTGCACCGGTCTCATCGTAAATTGAATCTCTCCATTACCTTCTGCCGCGGTCTGTCTTATCCCGCACGAAGGATTTTTCTTGCAGTCGTCAGAGAGATAAAATTAGCGTCGCGAAATGAGCATATAATAATCCCGACCTTTATTATTCCGCACATTTTTATTCCCTTTAAAACAGAGTATAAATAGAAAGCTGTTTCTAATAAAATAATTTGATAAAAGAGAGTGTCTTAAGAAGATCCTAAGCTATCCTAAGTTTCATTTCTGTTTTATCGACAAAATGTGAGGTTAGATTGAACTATAAATCTATTTATTGGCTGTACGGATTGTTATTAGATATATGTTATATGATATATATTAAAGTATTAATATTAACAAAGGGCGAAGCGTTCTAATTTCAGATAAAAAACAATCCGTATAGCCAATAAATAGATTTATAGTTTATCTAACCTCACATTTTATCGATAAAACAGAACGGAAATCACAGATTTCTCAAGAACGTTTAGGATCATCTTAAAAAACTGCTTTGAAAGAAAAAGAATTATTGAATTAGAGAGAAAGAGGAATTTATTTTAATAAGAAACACTGCTGATGTGATCGGTGAAATAACCTAACCTAACATTCTATTTTCTCGCGCGCCGCAAAAATTCCTTTTTCTCCCACACATCTGTCTCGAAATAACTAACTTGTTATTTCGTAATAAAGTGAATTTTTTACGACGCGTATTGCCGGACGGATCCATCTCGTCCATTCTGGACGGTGGAAGAGGATACCGACTCAATTAATACTTAATGTACGAGGCGGGGCTCGAAATCGGTTTCCAACCCTCCCGGCACTATTTATTCGGAGTAATTATGGATGCAAGTGCGGGCGGGCGGGAAGAAGAGGGGAGTTTCGTCTGTTTTACGATGGCAAACATTAGAGGAGAGACGCGTCCCGCGAGATAAAGGCGGGATGTTAGACGCCGCACCGTGTTGGGACAGCATCAGCAAACAGCGGGCGCAGAGCGCGACAGCCTCGCGATTCGACTGATTATTCTACCGAAGCGCGATCTCCGTACATATTTACCCGACGGGGTTTCCCGGGAAGAGCCAGGGAACTCGAAGTACCGAGAGCCATCCCGCCGCTAATCGACCGCTCGTTGATCGATCATCATCGATCCGACAGGCTCCTCGTCCTCGCGCGCGAGGATCAATTTACTGTACCCTCGAGTTCGGAGTTTGTTGCGTCAATGGTGTTGCGTTTTATCGACTAACTGTAACTAATTATCTCCTCTTTGTCACCTCGCGGAGAGATGTATAATAAAGCTAATGCGAGAAAAAGTGAGGAATTGAGAGAGATGAGTTGATGTAAATTTTTGTTCGGGTAACTGGTTTCACGATTTGTTAAATTCAGATGGAAAAATCAAATTTTAGAGACTGCAGATTATAATTGTGATTTTAATTATATAATAAAGGCAATATTATTTTTTATTTAACAAAATTGTCCGAATTGTTTTTGAAATAAAAAATTATATCAATTTTTCAATATTTTTTTTTTTATTTCTTCTGAAGTGTCAAATACATGTGATTGTACATACTAAAAAATATTATTAAATTAATAAATATTTATTTCCTAATAAATCATATTTATTTGAAACAAATAAATATTTTTCACGTCAAATCAATATTATTAGTTTTAAATAAATGATTTATTAGGTAGTATTAAAATAAATGTTTATTTGAATTCGATAATTTTTTTACAGTGCGCCTAATTAAATAACGTATTTTCTATCGGTTAACTGTAACTAATTATCTCTTCTTTGTTTTACGGAGAGGTGTAAAATAAAGCTAATGAAAAGAAGAAATTGTAATTGAAATGAGCTAGAGTCGACGTAAAGTTCGTGTAACTGATTCTAAAAATGGTAAAAGAAGATGAAAAAATCACACATTATAGAGATTGCAGATTATAATTATACGAATTAAAATTATACGAAAAGTCAATAAAACCTATGCCTTTTTAAACTAAATTGCTCGATTCTTATAATTAAAAATTGTGTAGGTATAGTCAATTTTTAAATCTTCTTTCATCCCTTTCAAAACGCTAAATACATATAATCGTACGTCTAATTAAATAGTGTCGTATTTTTCATCGATTAACTGTAACTAATTATCTCTTCTTTGTTACATCACAGAGAGCTGTATAATAAAGCTAATGAGAAAAAGAGAGGAATTGAGATAAGCTGGAGTTGATGTAAATTTGTCCGCGTAACTCGTTCCAGAATAGTTAAATTGAGTTGAAAAAATCACGCATCAAATTATAGGGACTGCGGAATATAATTATACGGATGCAAATTATATAGAAAATTCATGAAGTCAATATTATTTTTCCTAAATTGTCCGATCCTTATAATCAAAAATTTTTATGTGCATCATTAAATAAATAATGTCATATTTTTATACTGACTAATACTAACTAATTATCTCTTCTTTATTTTATAAAATTATAATAAAAGGAATTATGAATTTAATGCGAATCGTCCGTGTAAACTGATTTTAAGAGTAGTAAAATTGAGATGAAAAAATCACACGCATTAAATTATGGAGATTCCAGATTATAATATTATACAGATTTAAATTATATTAAACAATATTTTATTTTTCCGAGTTAATTTGTCCAATTATATTATTGACCCAAAAATACTGTCAATTTTTAAATCTCCTTTTTCGATCTCTTTTAAAGCATCAAATTTCATGCGATCGTAAGCTCCATCGAATCTCTTAAAATTCACTTTATATTTGATCAAATGACTCGTATTTCGAAATAAATTACGAGATTCAAGAGACATTCGGTGGAAATAATCCGATACACGTACTCGAGTTCTGTCTGAAAGCCTGCATCCGCGCTGATAATGGAAGGCGCGTCGCGGGAGAGAACAATAATGTAACATCGCGGGTATAACGTAATCTGTGCATAATTGAACGTAAACACGCCGATAATTTGAGCCAGCAATGGTGGACGAACGGACGGGTGGGAAAACAGTCATCACGCGGTTACGTGAGAATATTCTGCAGACAAACGAATAATTGCCTTCGCTGGACCTGCATCCTCGTAACCGAGCTACAGCTTAATCAAACTAAACATCTACGGGGTATGTATTGCTATTCTGACAAGTAATTCGTGCTCGAAGAGTTCAGAGCTAGAGCAAAACAATCCATCGATGTTACGCTAACATTTTCCAACTTGTTCAACAGTAATTTTCAAAAATCACCGATCAGCTGATTTGTGTCACATGTGTCAAAAAAATTCATCAACATCTTTTTGCGACCAGAACTCGTTTTTCTACACTTTTATGTTGCTTTACGAATATTTTTGTTTATTAATAAAGTTTTAGGAGTTTATAATGTTTTTGTTTTACTTACCGGAGGATAATCGCCCTCCTTCATCTGATAGTCGAACACGTAAAAGTAGGTCTTGGGCATCGGTTCCTCCTCGCTGTCGGGAATCGGCGCTATGTGGGGATTGTTCGGTTTCTTGGTGTGTCTGAGGGTGAAAAGATCCCCGGTTTGTACGAGAGGAGCCACGAACTGCGCGTCACTCAACGCCTGCACGCATGCATCCTTCGTGTTGATGGGATGCTGAACCGTTCGCTCCCAGTCGGTGTACTCATTCACCACCTAGACGAAAACGAATTTCAGCTCTGTCATTCACTGTCACAAACACGGCGAGAAATTGTCGGGGAATCAGCTGTGACAAATTTGCGCTTCGGACAATCATCCATCCTCTCTTCAGCGCACTGATGAACCCTTTCATCAATGAAAAGGAGTATCCGAGTACTCAAATCAACTTTGAAATATTATGTTAAATGTATTGGGAAATCGTCTAATAGTTCAGTAAAATTAGACTTAAAAAAACAAAACTTAAAAAAAATTATAATCAAGCTGAATTTTTATGGAGACCTTTATTTCGATGTTCTAATAAAATCCTAAAAAGTACCCTTAATTTCAGCCAGGGCGTTTTTTATGGGGGGTAAAAAGGAATAAATTTTGATTTTTTGCTATCTCGAAAACTATCAATTTTTCGAGAAAAATAGTTATTATCGAAATTGTAGCTCATAAAATTCTCTACAAAAAAAGGTTATACTTTTTTTCGTACAACTAATCGTTATTGAGTAAAACGTGCGGTAATGTTGCAATATTTCTAATATCATTTTTCTGCACCTCTTACAATTAGTCACATATAATACTATAATAAATGTGCACATTTTCTTTCAGACTTAATTCACTTTATATCTTCCAAACGATTAATTCCATAAAAAAGTATACAGACCATTTTGTAGGGAATTTTATGAGCTACAATTTTGATAATAACTATTTTTCTCAAAAAATTGATAGTTTTCGAGATAATGGCAAAAAACTAAAATTTACCCTAAAATTCAGCTTGATTATAATTTTTTTGAAGTCAGTCTAATTTTACTGGAGTATAAAAGGGAAAGAAATATATAACGATAAAAAAATTAAACATTAATAGAAGGGTATATTTAAAAAAATATAAATATTATCAAAAATATATATTTTAATTAAATATATATATATATATATATATATAATAATATATATAAAAACATAAAACATAAAAAAAATGCAAAAATATTTTTTTCACGGTACCAAATCTTTTTGCAGTAAAAACAGGTTGTCTCTTTCTTCAATTAAGTTTCAATTAACCCAGCGAATTCTACAATATCGAATTCGTTCTCCTTTACGCAATGGCGTAGAATAAATAATATGCGTTTCACGCAACAGCTCCCGTATCGCGGTCGTAAAAATACATCGTCGCGACTATAATCATTTAATTGTCTATAATCATTAAGTAATGCCCCTAGGGCGTGAGTCGCCTGGATGCCGATAACGCGTCGGCCAAATGGAATTGCGTATTTCGCCGGTGTATTTCGACAAAACCCAAACGCTCGCGTTTCAATCGTCCTTGTGTATGGAACGTAACAATTATGTTCCCGCGATAAATTCCGCGCGAATGCAACGACACACAGGCCGCAAATATGCGCGGCATGTTGCATACTACCCAGCGATAAATACGAGTCATCTTTGTGCTCTTTGATAATTAAATTTGCAAATTTTCCTGCCCTCTACAGTGAAACTCTCTCCACAATAATCATTCCAAGCTAATATCTTTGAAATAAAGAGACGCAATTTGTGTGTCTTAATGCGATAAAATAATTTAGGATTATTATTTATTTAAATTCTTAGATTTGACGAAAAATCTAAGGATAAGAATAAGTAAATCTAATTATATAAATCCTCAAAAAAATTGAGAAAATATTGCAAAAAATGATAGTCATTTTAGAAACATTATTATTATTATTATTAATTGTCGTGATTTTGAGATTTGCTTTTTATACGCAGAAAACACAAATAAAAAAATTTTATTGATCGAAAAACGAGGACTATTCTAATTTTGTAAGATTAATTATTAATATTATTATTAACGTAAAAAAATTTTTACATAATTGTGCGCACTTTGTTACATATATAATAAAAATTCTGGTTTTATAAATAATAAATAGCGAATGACTCACCGTGTAAAATATCTCAGTGAGATGATAGACGTAGGCGTTTCTCACGTACGTGCGGATAATCCTGTCTCGTCTCTCACCCTCGAATCCTTGTAGAACGTCCTTCTCCGCAAACTTCCATAATGCCTCGCTCGTTGTCACACCAAACAACAGATCGTATTTGTTGTTGCTCGTTATTGGCGCGCCATGTTCGGCCTTTTTCAGAAGAGGCCTAAATACATAACAATTTTAATTAAGTAAAAAATGTATTAGGTTATAATTCTCATATAATTTGATTAATCCTTCAGAAATTTATATATAAGAAAATAATATATATATATTTATATATTTAATAAAAATAATAGTAAAATTAATTTTACATTTTAAAAATTTATGTAGAATTAATTGAAAGAAAATTATATAAATAATATATTTTATTATACGTTTAATATACATAAAACATTTTAAAAATAAAGTAGTTAAATTAAATTAATTGCACACCTTTAGAAAAATAAATTACAAAATAATAATAAAATTATGAGAATAAGAGTAATTAAAAAATTAATTGGACAACTTAAAATATTGAAGAAAATAAATTGAAAAATAATAAAGCAGTGCTAAGAAGATAATCTTATTGTAAGAGGGTGAGCATATTTATAAGACAAACAAAGCAATTTCAATACGATTACAGAACACGAAAGCGACATTAGGTAAATCTGAAAATCTCGGTCAGTAATTGCAAACCGGGGAACAGTACTCGCTTTGGAAGTAAAGATGATAATATGAACTCGCACTATGGTTTCCGGTTCCGTGGCGCGATCTTCGATTGTAAGTATGCTAATGACGTTGTAGGGTCGGGGTGGGTCGTTTACAATCGCGTTAATGAACCACGCTAATGTTCGCGATGGCGAACCGGCTCGTTTAGCCCCTCTTTTTTCCCATTTAACGAGAAAACTCCGGGATCCGTCAGACGGAAGACGGAAGGCGGAATTATTGTGGAAAGCCGACGTTAAGTACGAGACATTCCCTTTTCCCTCTCCCCCTCCCCAACCCCCTCCCTCCCTCATCTCTCGTCGAGCAAGAACGCAAAGCCGAGCCCGGAAGTGCACACATCAAAATAACTTTTCCGCCGCTTTACGGATTTCCTTTGCCGCCACGAAAGAAAATGTAGAAATATACGCCGCATTACCATAAAACTCTATTAAGCCCGCTCTACCGGAATCCGAGGATTTTCCCCTGCTCCCTCTTTTTCCCCCTTGCTGTTATTCTCTCGCTTTCTCTTTAAATTTCGTTTTTTTCCCCATTCGCGCTATGACTGATCAAAAATGGCGCTAAAAGTTCGCAAAGGCCACAATGAATCCTTATTTCAAATTAATGAAGTAAAAGAAAATTAATTTGTAAAATCTAGAAACGCTAATATACTAATGCAAAAAAATTATATTTAAAACAAAGAAATTCTAAGATTGAGAAACTTTCAAAGTTTTTTCAAATTCATAAGATTCTTTGAAGAATTGTATGTAAAAAAAAATCATAAGATTTGAATCAATTTAGAACCTTGAGTTGTTTTTTCCTGTTTTACCGACAAAATGTGAGGTTAGATCAACTATAAATCTATTTATTGGCAGCTTGTACATGCAAAATAAGACTAGGGCGGATTTGGCATTAGATAAAGGAATATAAGTGAATGTTTAGATATCAATTTGGAAACCTAGTAAACGAGAATAGTTTACTCAATAAACACAAAGTAACAGTAATACCTATAACATCAATGTTACAATTTCCCACTCAACAATGTAACGATTACGTACAAGGCATTGCAGTTACATTGTTGAGTGGGAAATTATAACATTGACGTTATGTTACTGTTACTTTGGTTCACTGTGAATGCATCTTACATTTTTATGTATATGTGTGCGCGAGGCTTTCAAGTTGATATCTAAACATTCACTTATATTCCTTTATCTAATGATCAATTCGCCCTGGTCTTATTTTGTATATACAAACTGCCAATAAAAAGAATAAATAGATTTATAGTTCATCTAACCTCACATTTTGTCGATAAAACAGGAAAAAACAACAGACTTCTCAGGTACGTTTAGGATCCCCTTAAGAACTGAAATTTTAATATTAATTCAATTCGAACATTATTTTTGGATATACTCACCCAAATCCTTGAAACTCGGGGCCCAGATAAGACAGGAGATCTTTCTGAAAGTCCGGCTTGATGACGACACCATCGACACTTGGACCAAACGCGCTAAGAAATGTCGGAGGTTGAATGTCGACTTGCATCAGCTCTTCCAGACTGCTCTCCCTCAGACAATCGACTATAAGCTCATTGTCTTTGAGAAGATCATCGGGAATGGAGCAGTTGATAGCCTTGGCGAGTTTTAAGGCGTAGGATACAGGATCTTCCACGACAGCCCAGGATGAAAGGGCGCTGCCCGACAGAAGTATAGCTCGTTTGAACAATCCTGCAAATGAGAAAAATCGAACGAAAATTATTACACATTTGTTAAAAATAAAAATTAAAAATAAAAAAATATATTGCATCTCGATGATACATAAATCATTAAATAAATATATTTGTGTGAAAATTATCAGGATATAATATGATATATAAAGCTTCTTTAAGGGTAATTTTTTAAATAAACGAAATTTGTTATTTTAAAGATTTATTATATAAAATACATTTATTCATTTAATATAGCTATATCTGATACCATGATTGTACGGCAAAAATATTGTCATAGAATTCAATTAGAGTCAATAATTTTGAAGCAATTAAAAAGAAAAAAGAAATCGCGACTTTTTTGAGATTAAGAGGAAATTGTTTTCCTAGAAATAATAACTTTGGAATGAGAAAGCTGCGTCGCAAAGGACAAATTCTTCGACGAAGGTTCATATGAGAATACCTTACATAGCATTTTTATTTTTATTTTTGTAAATTGCGAAAAAAAAAGAGATACCAGGTTTTTCTCATCGATAAAGAAATTACTCTCTCGAGAAAATTTGTCCGATGGACCGGAAACAATCTTTCTATTGCTTAAAGTGATATACAGAAAGAGGGAATATTTCGTGATAAATAAAGCGTTATTTTCGCAAATCGATTCCGCACTCGCGACCGAGAAGCATCTGATTTTTATTTCCTTATATTTTTTAAAGAAATATATAAAATAAGACAAAAATAGATAGATATATCAATTTTTATCTATGTCGGATACTAAAAATTTATATCGTTAAAAAGAAGAAAATGGAATTTGAATATATATATATAGAGAATATATATTTTCAATACACAGAGATATAAAGAGAAAAAATATAGTGATGAAAGAATTTAAAATTTAAAATTTTCAACCGAAATTTTAAAATTGTTTGTTTTACTAAGCAAAATGTATATTCTTAAATTTGAATTAATAATCGCTCGAGAGATAAATTCGGCATATATATTTTTATTTATAAAATGTTGTAAAATAAATATATAATATAATAAATAAATGAATATAACTAAATATATAAAGATATCTGTATAAATAATCGTTATCTGCTCTTATCTTATGATTAAAAATTTTTTTCTCTTTCTTTCTCTCTCTTTCTCTTATGTTCTTTGATAATTAAATTTTTGAAGCGTGATACCTCGAATTGTTACTTCTAATGCCGGATGAAGCGCAATGGTTACAAGACGTTGTGAATGTTATACGAGTGGATTGTTTGAGGAGGAAATTACGCCGGCGAAAATGGCACCGCGGATGGATGGAAGCTACGTCGTTATTCTTAGCGAGAAAAGAAAGACAAACCAAAGTCTCTCTCGAACCTGAAGATGTTGGTGGTCGACGACCCATAATTATCCGAGAGGAGAGAGAATCGCTTCTCTCGCACTCGCAGACTTCTCGCGTCGATGTTATTTGCCTGAGGAAAAATGTCAACGCTACGTTTTGTGCTTTAAGGCAGAAGTTTTCAATCTTCACTCCGCTCGTTATTAACGCCGTCATTAACTCGTCTCAGCAGTTATGCCATTAGTGCGCAGCGTTAAAATAAACATTTTTTCCAACGTAGTGAGCACAGCAACAATTTTATTTATATTTTATAGATGCATTTTAATATTTTATTATACACATATTAAGTATTTTATTTAGACATAATATTATATATTTTATTATATATAATTAATATATAATATGTATTTTTGATGTATAAATAAATATATATAACTTCAAAAATTATGTAAAGCTTAATTATTAAAATATAATGTATAACAAGTTTAAGACTTTTTGTGATTTAAATAAAAGAACCTTGAAACATTCTTAATTAATATTTTTGCATTAATGAAGAAACTGTGTAATTCGAATGAATCTCTTCTCAAGTTTTCTGGTTTACACTGTTCTAAGAAAATAAGTATTGTATTTTAAGCAAAAATGTAGTTTTCAATTTTAAAGAATATTAAAAAGGAACGGATAGAAGAATAAAACGTTCTCTCTACACTTCGGGAAATTATTATGCGATTTTTTTCGTCGTGCAATTTATCAGGGAAATTAACAAGAGAAAGAGAAAGAGAGAAAACAAGGAAAAAGGGAGAAAGAAAAAAAGGGAGGAGAGGCCAAAAGCAGGAAATAACAGGACGTCGTCGTGTCTCGGAAAAACCGCCGCCTCGGAAAAATGGAATTTTCATTTCTATCCTCCAATGATACGGGAAAGAATGAAGCACCCGCGCGAAGCCAGGAAAAGACCAGAAAAGAATCGGGACACGTCACGATCCTTTTTGATCGAAGAAGAGACGAGTGCGAGAAGGGAAGAAATGGGACTCACACTTTTCGTGTGCCAGCAAATATATAGAAGAAAGGGAAATGGTGCTTCTCTTTTCGAGCGAAACAAACGAGTACAAAGCGTCTTAAATGATGGAATCCGCAAATAACGCGAGTTTTATTAAGTGAAAAAACTTTTATGACCTTAGCATTGGAGTGCTGCAAGTGGCAGCGACATAAATCTGGTACTAAATTGCAAAGGAAAAAAAAATAATGAAAACAGAAATATAAAACCCAAGAGGTCTCTCTTTCTTTTATACGCGTAAACCACGTTAAGAGGAAGATTTAATATCCCGGCGCCATATCTCCACGATCGCGAAAACCTTTGTCATTTTTAATCATCCCGTCCTTTCTCACAAATCCTACAGCCCCATTATACTCGCTCATAAAGAATTTAGATAATTTTTATCGACGTGTCGTTCTCCTCCTTCGAGTTGTCACTTAATTAACAAGACGAGAGAGGTTAGGTTAGGTTAGGTTAGGTTAAGGAGAGAGGTTAGGTTACGTTAGGTTAGGTTAGGTTAGGAAGAGAGGAACGCGAACCAGCCGCGACGGACGGAGAAGAAGAAAAAAAAGAAGAACGGAGAAAGAAAAGAGAAAAAACTTCCCCCGGTCTCGGACACGCGTGGATGGCTGCGCTCTCCTCATAAGGGTGGAAAGTATTTTCCAATAGCGCGACGAGGGTGACGCCGCGCCACGCCGGTAGGAAAGAAGCGATATTTCACGCACATAATATCACGGGTCGCGGAAGCTAGGAGGATGAGAAGGTGGAAAAAGGAGGAGGCCTTCTCTTATCCTCTCGGCCGTGTCCAACATAACCTCCCTCCCTTAAAGAGGGAGACCTTGCAGAAGCTGTTAACCGCGCATCGAACGTTAACCGTGTGGTGAACACGACCGCACGAAGACGACGGCAGCCGCTGGTGGATGAAGATATAAAGGAAGAGACAGCCAATATCTCTGGCAATGTGTTACCACGGCCGCGCGCGTGTTCGTCCTCGAAAATATCGCGGACCCGGCAAAATAGCGGGCGAAGGGTGGATATCGAGAAAGAAATTTCGCGAGCTGATATTCCTGCTGGTTCAAGCCACTTCTCATTTTCCCTGGACTTTCCCCTTTTCTCTCTATTTCTTGCTCCCGGAGGAGCGAGGAATGCGTTATGGTAAGATGGCGACGTAGCGCGACAAATGACGACGGAGCTTTCTACCGGAATATTTCGATCGCCAGGCCAAAGGTTTTCTCAGCAATCTGCTGTCGAGATTCCGAAAAGAATCCGCGCATTCTTCGGGCGATTAATCTTTTAATAATGACATGCTGAAGGAGAATCAGAAGAAAGGATTTTTTAAAATTCGGAATTATCTTGTTGTATATAAAATTGTATAATATTATATATTTAAAATATTTAAAAAATTAAAATATATAATAAAATGTAAAAGATATAAAATAAATTAAAATATATAAAAATATATAAATTGTGCATACATATACATATGTATGAGTGTGTATATATATATGCACATTTTAATTAGTTTTGAACTTGTAATATTCGAATTTAAAATAAACAAAATATATATGCGCGTTTAAAAATGTTTTTAAATTTAAAATATTCGAATTTTGTTCAAATAATGTTCGAATAAAAAATTTTAAAACATTATTTACGATTGAAGTTGAGAACCTCCGCTTGTTTCGAATCCACAAATTCGTCTTAGCGTGAGAACTGAGTAACGGAATTGTTACGGAGACAAGTTCGAAAAGTGTAAGCCCATTTCTCGCTCCTCGCAGATCTTGTTAGCGGATTCGATTGCGTTTCTCGCAATAGATCGATAGGAATTTTCGCGAGTTTGCAAGTGCACCGCGGAGAATTCGCTTTCGGAGAAAAAGAGAAAAAGAGTGGAAAGACTCTCTCTCTTCGTTCTTCTTATTTGCGAATACGTAATCGGCGTTATTCGTAATTAACCAAACGCGAAATAACGCACTGTAACGAAGCTCATGTAAAACTTGCTACTCTTCAATTATGTGTAATGCGAAAGCGCTCTTAATCATTTACCAAACGCGCCGGCGTAGCGTGTAACCTGAATAATTGCGCGAGCAAAATGCTGGCGAACGGTTTCGAAATTTTGACCGGCTCCATTCTCGAGAAAATTAATAACGCCCTTCTGCATTTCGCAATTTACAATTATTGTAATAAAATCGTCGGAAATCAATCTTATTGACCTGTACCACTTATTTTATATAATTTAAAATACGATCCGGTTGCGAGAACAAAATTCGGTCGAGGACGCAAAAGAGTCGAAAAGTGTGGATTATTATTAATACTGCGTATCCTCCCTTTATGTAAGATCCCGGTAAAAAAATGTTTATATATAATTATATATATAAATAATTGTATAATTATACATATAGTAATCGCGTAAAATTAAATATGAAATATGTATGTCCATTTCTATACATATTTATATAAATTTATATATAAATGATAAGAGTTTATTATAATCATGTCAAATTATACATAATAGTATATTGTGTATCAAGTGCGGAAAGTTGACAATTGGTCACGAGTGCGACCAGCCCACACGAGTGACCAATTGTCAATCCGCACCTGATACACATATTATTTTGTATTGCAAGTGCAGGCAAAGTGGTTGTTTCGGTGCGTTTTCTGTGCGCGAGGCGGCCGATCGCACGCCGCCATCTTGCCGCGGCACGGTGGAGGAATAGCCGGTTTCAATACATTTCCTACGGCTTGAGCCGTATACAATGACTTTTAACGCGGCTCAGCCGTAGATAATGGCTTTGAAACCGGCTTATTCACTCACCGCGTCGCCGCTAGATGGCGGCGGGGGAAATCGGCCGCTTTCTGCACAGAAAACATGCACCGAAAGTGCCACATTGCCTGCACGTGTAATACAAAACATATATTTATGTTTTAACAATTTATATAAATTTGATAACAATTTTAGATACATAAAAGCAAACCGTGATTATATCCCAACCTAAGCACTCACCTCGAATGACGGTGGGACTGATGGCGAGGAAATGCACGCAAGCGGCCCCGGTGCCCTGGCCCATAAGGGTGACGTTCTCGGGATCGCCCCCGAAGCGGGCGATATGCTCCTTAACCCAGTGCAGAGCGGCGATTTGATCCATGAGGCCGTAATTCGCGACCCTCGCTTTGGTCTGCGGCGCCACGTTGGCGTTCAGGAAGCCGAGCACGCCTAGCCGGTAGTTCATGGTGACGATCACTTGGTCGGTGTAGCTGGCTAGGACGCTACCGTCGTAAGGGTTTCCGCTACCCCAGTCGTAGCTCTCGCCATGAATGTACAGCAACACCGGATGCTTCCTACCACCCTCCGCCATGCCTGTAAACACAAAGGAGTCGCGACGCGTCGTTTTAGTTTAGTTCCTCTTTCGCTCGGAGAGCCGCTAGAGAGAGAGAGATGACAAAGACGACGGTGCAACGACAAGAGCACCGGCTTCTTTGTCGCGGACACGTCGGGAACACGAGGCGGCGTCGTCTCTACCTGCCAAAGCATCCGGATACGACCCGGAATTGTCCCCGTGTTCCCTGGGCAAAATGCGATCTCAAGTAGGGGTGTCGCCGTGTCATTTCAAAGTACTTTCAACTATTATCACGCAGCTAAAAACGGTAGATTTGGTGTGTGTGAAGACCGCGAAAATTTAATTTTTTAAAAAATTAGTTAAATATATTTCGTTTTTTTATAGATCATCTTCAGCAGATTTGATTTTTGCTTGTTTAAAATAATAATTAGAGGAGATTCTAAAAAACAAATGGCGCCTGGCTTTTATTACCCCTTTCCATGTTTAATTTTTATTCATAAAATTTATATACATCTTTTATTATATAAATTAAATCAAATATATTATATAAATTTATATATTTATATAATACACTTAATTTAAATTCGAATATGAATTTAGCAAGGTACAAATAAGAATGTAATTTTTTTTATTTGAAAAGGTTCCTCAATGTGAAAAATATATTTGTAACTTTAGGGCACATTTGTAATATATTCGCTCCTTCGTTCCAGAACATGAAGTCCTGAAAATCGATAGGAATGAAACATGAAATTATCGAACCGTAAAATTACAAAGAATCGCGCTCTTGTATCGCTTTCTTTTGTTGGATTTTATGTTAAGGTGGTTTCGATAGCACACGTTTTTTATAAAAAAATTAATATCATATCTTTTTCTGCTGTACGTAAAAATTGAACGTCGTTTTAATCGTAAAAAAAAAGAGAAATGAGCATATATTTTTATGTATTTTTTATACGTACGATTGTCTCCTCTGGCACATATTTTACGATAATATCTCGACTATTCCCAAGATTTGTACCAAGAAGCATAGAATCAAAGTTGTGGTCTAGGTAGCTTTAAAAGTTATCCGTAATTTTTGATAGTTTTTAGTCTTATTTCCGCATTTTTCTTTCTCTCGCGCGACTATCTCTTGAAATCCTTTGGAAAACTCTCCGCAACTACTTGCCATCCCTGCCTTCCTCTTTCTTTCCTGCACTGAATGCGACTTTCTATATAGCTAGACACACGGTCAACATCGCTCTTTGTTTCGATAAGAGCCACTTCCGTCTCACTTTCGCAACCGTAACGACGCGAGTGGCGAGGTGGAGTGATGTGGCAAGTGGTAAGTCCATATTTCGCGATAAGGAAACGTCTTGGACGAAAGAAATCTACAATTCCAATCGTCTACACATACGACCCGGGTAACGTGAAAAAGGGAAGTTTTGGAAGAGACACATTTCCGAGCACAGCTTTTCGAAAAAGAACAACACGTTCCGATCAGTATGTCAATTTTGCATGCAAGAAACGTCAAAATATCGAGTCTCTCGATCTACATTAAGGTGATCCTAAACGTTTTGAAAAATCTGTGATTTCCGTTCTGTTTTATCGACAAAATGTGAGGTTAGATAAATTATAAATCTTTTTTCTAAGCATTCATAATTCAGTAATTAAAATATATGAAACTATACAGATTGTTTTGAAAATAATATATATATATATATATATTATTTTCAGGTAAAAAACAATTTGTATAGCCAATAAATAGATTTACAGTTTATCTAACCTCACATTTTGTCGATATTGCAGGAAGGAAACTTAGGTTAGCTTAAGATCTTCTCAATAAACGTCGAAATTTTTATTCCAGCGCTTTAATTAATTCGATTAAAATATTTTTATAATTACATTATTTTATATGATTAAAAATATTTATGATCAAATTACATATTAAATTATATGTACATCCGTGTATATAAATAACTTCTAGATATTACTTTTGAGAACAAAAATATATGTTTTAAGACATCATTAATTTTTTCATTGAAAAGATTAGGCTAAATTAAATCTATTGAACGCAAGATTTCTCACTCTTTTATCTTTAACTCATTCAGCGATCTTTTTTTCTTTTCAATCAAGAATATCTGCTCGTTTCTTTCTCGCAGTTAGATCTCGATGTTTATCAAGTTCTGCATCTCGGTATTGGAACAGATCGAGAATCTCTGATCCGTCGAGAAAATTTTTGTGCTTTCTCCCTCACTGATTCTGCAGGCCGAATTTATCTCAGAATCTTAATCAGCTAAGTCTCTCTCTCCTCCGTCTCAAAGTACTTAGCAAGTTAGCAGTGTATTTGCCTTGAGACTCTTTATTCGGATTAATGCAGATCGTTCAAATTCCCCGCTTCGTCTTTCTTCGCTTGCATAGACACACGAAGTGACACTTCTTTTCGCGATAGACTAACGACGAAAGTAAAAAAAAAACATTAAATTGTATAAAATTCTGTATACATGTTTTATGAATTTGTATGAATGTGTACCTCACATTCGGAGATCGGAAAATTTTTGCTAATATTTTTGGCGAATAAAACGCGTGTTTTAAATAACTCGTTTTTCAGCTGCGAAAAATCAATCACGGGATAAAGGGGTACATGTGCGGGGCGAACTAAATTAAATTAAAAATAAATTTATTTACAAATATCTCTGTTCTTGTACAATAAATTTTAATTAAAATGTAGAAGTAACATATGTACATGCAAAAATATACAAAATTGATATATAAAATATACAAAAGGATATATATATATATAGAGAATATAATATATATAATATAATCTATGATATAGGGACATATTAAAGATATAGGACTATATTATATTATATAGAGATATATATATATAATATATATATATATATATATATATAATATAATATAGTAATATAATATAGATAATATAATATATGTAATATATGTAATATGATATAGATTATATTATATATATATATATATATATATATATATATATAGTAATATATATAGATAATATAATATATGTAATATAGTAATATAATATAGATTATATATATTATATATATATATATATATATATATATAATCAAAATATATAATGATATATAAATAATATATAAAATATATAATATATAAAATATATAATGATATATAAATTATATACAATATATAAATAAAAATTATATATATAATGCATATATATAAATATGCATAAAAAATATAAAAGAATATATACCATTTTGGTAAAGTAAAAAAAATGCTACAAGTATGTTCTCGAAGTGAATTTGACACAATAGAAAATCGTAAGATGATCGAACAATCTCGCCCCTTCCAAAATTCTCCTTGCTCGCGGCGAATTAATGGTATACACGGACATTAATCGAAGTGAACTGGAGATAAATTTGGCGATCGGACGAACGAACGAACACACAGTCGCACACGGACGTTTCGAAATGGCCGCGATGCGAAAATATTTAACGCCAAAACTCGATATTACAGCGGGCTGCTTTCTGCGTTCGCCGGGAATACTCGATAAATCCCGCTCCCGGGGAAAATAGATTAGCGCGATAGGTCATCAGCGAGACTTCTCGCGACATGCACGCATTGGTATCAATTTATTCGTCCACAGCACCCTCCAGCTCCCCTTCTCTCACCCTCCTGCCCCCACATCCTCGAAGCGCGATCAAAACAACGGGTGTCAAACATGCCTGAAATAGTTTGAACTTTGTCTCTCCGCTCTACGAATAATGCGCATCGACATGACGCTCGTTAATTAACGTTGCCAGATGAGTTAATATTAACAAGCGTCAGTAATCGTACAAACGTTCTGACGCTCCGGCTCTCACAATGGTCTTTCATTATTTCGTAGTATAATACGTCATTGGAAATTTGCCTTGTGTCATTATATAATTTGACGGTAAAATGATTAATATAAATATTACAATATAATTTATATCTCTCTTCTGAAATTTAAAATTATAATCCGATATATGCGGGGCGCAACACGAGTGTGACAAAATTTACGAAAACGTATGACGCGCGCGCCCTTTCTCTCGGATGAAAAAAAAAAAAAAAATAAAAAAGAGTTTAATCCGCGTTTAAAAGTCAAAGAGCGAATTTGTTGGCGTAACAATACGTTGCCGCGGGCATGGCCATTTTTGCAATGATGTTATTCGTCCATCATCGGAAATCCGATTACACAATCCCGCTTTCAAAGTATCATTTTTAGCTCGTTATTGTAGCAGTTCGGTATGTAAAGCCCAGTTTATTCCGTCTCTCCCTCCTTTCCTCCCTCCATCTCTCATGCTCATTATTCGCTATAAACTAATCCGTCGATGCGATAGAAATTACGAAAAATGAGAGAAACAACCTACGTAAAATTAATTTTATAAACTCTTGTATCCACACACTTTGTCCGATATAATATACTTTCTGACTCATTGTATATTTATCACTAGGAATGGGATCGATTTCAATGTGTACTGAAAATTCCGAGTCAAATCCAATAATCAAATATTTTTTTATAGGGTATTATTTAATTTTATTTCTTATTATTATTATTAAATATGTTTATTTTTATTTATTATTTTTTTTATTTATTATATCTTACAGTCTCATACTATTATTTTTCATATTATTTATATTATTTAAATACTTATAGGAAATAATATAATATAAGAAATTATATATTGCAATTTGCGAAATAACACAAAGTCTAAATTTTAAAATACTTATAAGAACTTATAAGTACGTTCCATCGTAAAGAATCGAATCTTTTACAAGTATCTAGTGCTTAAATAAAAAGAAATATTACTTTATAATACATATGATTTATTTGTAACATAAATATTCATAAAAGATTTGCGCACTTGATATAGATTCGAATGTATTCACAAGGTATTTAAACAGTTTGAAACAATCTTATCCTGATTTAAGTCTATTATTTTTTTCTTATTATGAAATCATCAGAACATTCATGCGAACAAATTTAAACCTACTTGCGAGCGACTTAATTCTATCGCTA